GAGGGCGGCCATGCACTGGCTGTTGAGGGCGTCCTTAAAGTCGCTGACGTAATTTGGGTAGCGCCGCCTCACGTCTCGGATCAGGCCGCCGAAGGGCCGGCCGGTGCGCTCCAAGGGGTCATCGGACTTCTTGAAAGGCGTGATCAGGGCTTCTGCGCGGTTAGACGGGCGGGGAGGTTACGATAAGTTCTCAACCGCGCTGGATTTTTCAAGGTTTACCTTTTTCCTCCAGGCTTTTGGGTTCGTCGGCCAGCAGTTTTCCTTCCTCCCGCTTGCGCATCATCTCCCGCTGGAATCGCGCCACCGAGCGCAGGAGCTCGTCGCCGCCCATCTCCGACGGCGGCAGCACGATGCTGCAGTCCAGGAAGCTGTTGATGGCGTTCAGGAGGTCCTGCCGGTCGTCCGCCAGGTAGGCCGCCTCGTGGAATTGCTGCGATGGGTGTTCAATTTGGAAACTTGAGTCAGTCAAAGACCAAAAAATTGCTTTGCTCGACGACAAAAAAGAAAAGAAAAACGTTTAGATGGACTTTTTTCTTGTTATATTCGGACTTTATTTTCATGATATTTTTTTCATATTTACAATTTACCGGAAAACAATCGATAAAAAACAAAAACCCTAATAGGAAATAATAATAATATATAATATAGTACTGTTGATATTTTGAATTTATCCTCATGGATTAATATTTTTTTCCCTCTTATTTTGACGAGTCATGATTTGTCATATTTTTAATTTACTCCCAGATTTTTTTCCTTGAGATATTTTGACCTAATTCTCATAATTTCTTTTTTTTTTCTTAATATTTGGACTTTGTTCTCATAAAAATTTTCTCCATAATATTTGGAATTTATTTTGGTAAAATTTCAACTTTATTCTTGTTCAATTTTTAACTCATTCTTGTGCTATGAAAAACAAAATATAACAAACCTTTTTTGTCATGTTTACATTTTCCACGTGACACTTGACTTTTAGCTTACTATATCTAGATTTTTTTTTTTCTTTGAATGTTGGCCATTACAAATTTATTCTTGTAACATTTTCACTTTATTGTTGGAAAATGTACTTTATTCATTAAAAAAAATCACCATTATTATTGTAAAATTTCAAATTTATTGCCAAAATTAAAAACAAAATTATTGCTGGCAATTTTTTTTTCCTAAAATTTTTTGTAGATGACCACAATGCAAATACAGTATCTACAGTGTCAAATTACATTTTTAACTTCCTTTTGAAGGACGTAGCCCCCCCCCCCTCCACACACACACACACACACACACACACACACACAAAAATCAAATCAAATAAACTAGCGCTCGGTGCACGCACCTTATCGGACATGAGCGTGGAGATGGAGCGTCCTATCTGATGGTAGTCCATGCTGGTGGTGGGGGGCCCCAGCAGGACAAACAGGAAGCGAACGGGCACGGGAACCTCCAGCACCGACTCCAGTTCCACGGCCTCCTGCAGCCGTACGAACGCCATGGTGGGCTGCTCCAGGAAGTCCACGCTGCCTGCGAGGCGGCGGAAAACGGCAAACGCTCAACACCTCGCGGGGATGAGTCAACGGCCCCTCGTTGCTTTGAGCGAGATGACTCACCCACGAGGACGACGGTGGCCTCGGCGTTTTCAGGAATCTTCTCGAGGAGCTTGAGTTCGTGCTTGGACTTGGAGCGATGCATGCCCGACACCACGGTGGGCTCTTTCTGTTCGGGCCAACAAATACAACACAACTCACAGGCATATATTCTTTATCCTCAGACGACTACGTTTCTGTAATATTAAGTCGATTTTCGCTTGTTTTTATTCGTGATGAGGCTACTACAGCAGCGTACACCCAAAGTACCTGCACGTCATTCTTTTCGACGTCGATGTGCGTGTCGCAGTCGCCCGCCGCGTGCGCGCTGCTCATCAGCGGGTCGGTGACCGAGGGCTCGGGCGTGTGGGTGTGGTTGGCAACATGGTGGTGGGTCATGAGGCTACCCAGGCTTGCGGCAGAGATGTTCCTGGGGAAGGGGCTGCTGTGTTCCTTGTCGTCGCTCGGATGGCTGGGAAGAAGACAATTTGGCAAAAGAATTACATCCTGTGGGGATGTGAGAGGCGGCGGGGGTCGATTCTGTTCCAGTCTTGGACAAAATTTAATCTTTGAGGAATTTGCGGGGCTCCGGTGGGAGGAAATGAGCTCGGCGGGTGGGGGCGATGCGATTGGCGCTCACCTGTGCTTGAGCAGCAGGGCCCGCAGGACGTTGGCGCGGTCCTCGGCTTTGATCTGGTCTGAAATGATCATCTTCTCGACCACCTGGTGGGCGATGCCGGGCAGGGTCTTTTGGTCCAGGTCCAGCAGCACGGCACCTGCGCAAACACAAATGCGGAAGAAGAGAGAATATGCTTGAGTATTATTGCTGTGTGACCTGTTTGGATATGTTGCTGCTCAACGTGTGTTAGCTTAGCAGTGGTTACACGGTTGCCATTTTCGGTTAGCGACATCTATGGAGTTGATTATTTGTTAGCATGAAGCTAGCAGAATTTCATTTGACATTTCTTTGTTCATATTTTGACATTTAAATATACAATGTTTAATTTTTTTGTTGTTTTGCGCCCCGGTTTTACAGTCAACTTCACCTGCGAGTGACAACGAGCTTGAAGCCAGCACGCTCGGTCTCTTATTTAGAGAAATGTGGGTGCAAGAGTGAGAGCGGGTATTGAGATTTTCACCTCGTACGTGTGAGTGTGGAACATATCTGCAACATTTCATGGTGGTAAACTATAAAGTGGACTGTGGCATAGAAGACCTCTGAATGTTGGGCACTTGGTTTCAACCTCGTACCGTGTGCGATGGTCTTGCGGAGTTCCAGCAGACTGCGAAAGGACAAGGAGGCCACGTGGGGCTTGCCCCAGCGGTCCGTCTCCTCCTCCACGTCCTCCTCAAACTTGATCCAGCGGGCCGTCTCCTTCCACTGCATTTCCTGGTTCTTGTCCATGGTCAGCTCGTTCAGCTCCACGAACACCTGAGGTGGGGGGCGGGGGGATGGACGACGCAGTTAATCCCGCGGAAAAAACGAACGTGCTGGTGAATTAAATAGATGCGAAAACAGGTTCCACGCTTGGTGAGTGAGTTCTCAAAGCAGTGCTTCTCAAACTTTTGAAACCATCAGCCCGAAGCAGTTTTTTTTACCTAATTAATAAAGTACAACAAATCATTCTCAAAAATTAAATGTGAATGAAATTTAACGCCTTGGAAGCATGTGAGGAAAACAAACAAACAAACAAACAAAAAAAAAAAATCTCATTTGTTGTCAATGGTCTGATTGGCAGGCTGAATTGAGCTCAATTAACTTTGCTTAGCAACAAGTGACCATGCAAAAATTTAGGCCAATCGCAAGCGGGCAAACAATCGTTCTCAAGGGGGCGGGCCACATTAAAGATGTATTTTATTTTATTTTATTTTTTTAACCGACAAATGGGTAAGGGCATTTGTAGATACGATTTTTTTTAAAAATAGTACATACAAAAAATATATACATAAAATATACAATAATAATTACTAAATGATGTAAATGATGAAAAAAAATGATAAATAAAAGATTTAAATATCCAACAGGACAATTGATAATGTAAATGCTCCAAGGCGTACTCATGGTGTTTTATAAGAAATCATAAGTGTTTTCTGACGTGGATCAATATTAAGTTATAGCTATAGTTTTCCTGGCGATGGTGTTTTATAAGAAATCGTAAGTGTTTTCTGACATTTGTGTGATGTTATTCCAAGTGAACATGGGATCAATATTAAGTTATAGCTATAGTTTTCCTGGCACCTGGTCTACCGAGATGGTTAGCGGCCGACCAGGTGAGCTCTTCAAAGCACTTCACACGTCGTGCTGACAAACAAACAAAGCCGCTTTTGTCCAAAAGAGCCAATATTTAGGTCCCACGCCATGCTCGCGAGCTTGTTAAAGAGCGCCATCTGTGCCGAGCTTCACCCGCCGCATGCCTGTGAGATCACGCTCACACGGGAGGGTGGGGGGGATCGTTCTCAAGGGGGCGGGCCACATTAAAGATGTATTTTATTTTATTTTATTTTTTTAACCGACAAATGGGTAAGGGCATTTGTAGATACGATTTTTTTTAAAAATAGTACATACAAAAAATATATACATAAAATATACAATAATAATTACTAAATGATGTAAATGATGAAAAAAAATGATAAATAAATGTAATAAATATCCAACAGGACAATTGATAATGTAAATGCTCCAAGGCGTACTCATGGTGTTTTATAAGAAATCATAAGTGTTTTCTGACGTGGATCAATATTAAGTTATAGCTATAGTTTTCCTGGCACCTGGTCTACCGAGATGGTTAGCGGCCGACCAGGTGAGCTCTTCAAAGCACTTCACACGTCGTGCTGACAAACAAACAAAGCCGCTTTTGTCCAAAAGAGCCAATATTTAGGTCCCACGCCATGCTCGCGAGCTTGTTAAAGAGCGCCATCTGTGCCGAGCTTCACCCGCCGCATGCCTGTGAGATCACGCTCACACGGGAGGGTGGGGGAGGGGCAGGGGGGTGTCACACCTTGCTGGGCTCACCTTCTTGTACGTGGCGGCCACCGCGCTGGCGCCCGCGTCCAGAAGGACGCCTTTGGGCCGAGAGAAGGAGCGGTACAGAACCACCGACGTCGGCTGATGGGGTGGGGAACAGGAGAGAGGTCTCAAAGGACCCACATGGGCATCTATTGTAGCTGACGGGCTGACCGCATATAAGAATTTGTGTGCGTGTGCGTTAATAAATCATAACGGCAAGAGCGCCTGGTGTCAGGTTGCCTTGTGTGGACGGAAAGAAGTCATTCATTCATCATTCATCAGCCCGCCCACCCAATCCCCAAATTCCACCCGAGAGATGGAGACGATCGCGGGAAGTTGTCGATTAGTCAAGTATGACTGAAAGTCAACTTGAAGAATATTCGGAAATGTTAACCATCGTTGGATTGTCCAGTGGAACCACAGTTCACGAATTGAATCCATTCGGAGACTCGTTGTGACCCAAAGCAATGTTTCAAATGGAAATGGATAGAAGTAGAATTAATCCGTTCATGGAAAATGCCGAATATTAAATCAAATTTAAAATGAAATGAATACATGATTTATTGATTTTGTCCCATGACGCATTACGGTATTGATGGGCATTCTTACCTCATGTGGGGTGCGGTCCTGCTTTCGGCTGCGAGTGGCGGACTCCTTGTGGTCCTTGCCCGTGTGCACCACCTGGCCTTTGGTGCTCTTTCGGACCAGGTGTCTGCGAACGCCGGGGACATCTTCGAAGCGATGGCCTGGTGGCGGAGAGCAGACGTCGGTGTTGCGATTAAATGCTCATGTATTGTACTTAAAAGTTAAATACAACTGAACTGCACTTCACAAACGAGCCGTACGGGATGGGGGGGAAAAAAATAAAAATAAAAAAAGTGCAAGTCACTGGAACATTATACAGTTTCATTATACAGTCGTACCACGAGAGGGAACAGACTAAGAATCGCCGCGTCAAAGTGGCAACACAAACAATCTCATTGAATCCGAATGGTCTTACCTTTGTCTGGGTCGGTAGGTCCTATGTAACAAACCGTGATGCTTCTAATTCTGTTCTGCATTGACTGACTCATCTAAGACTGGCCCGCGATCGTGTTCACGAGCGTTTTTAAGAACTGCGACGGTCCAAAGTGAGGCAGATCCATCATGTCAGCCGCCAGGCTGAGCAGGCGGGCGCGGCGACTCTTGAAGGGAGAGGGCGGGCCCTCGCCGCTCACACAGGTGAGTACGCGACGAATGTTTTGGCCAATTGGGGGAAAAGTGGTCATTTCTTGACCGCCGCCTGACCCCCCCACTCCCCCCTGCCTGAAACCATCAGAGCAGATCAGCGCACAGTAGCGTTAATTTGCTTGGGGTGGAACAAAAGGGGAGTACTGGCGATCTAATAATTCCTATTGTTGACCAGCAGCCAGGCACAGAGCTGCTTTCCCAGGATGATTTACAGCAGATGTGGCAAAAGTACTGATACTTTGTACATACCGGTGTAGTAGAAATGTAACCAAAAAAAAAAAGATTGGTAAAAGTAGAGCGTAGACTAAGTAAGTAAGTACACATGTTGGAAAGTATGTTACAATATGTTGCCAAATACGTCAACCAGGTGAAGCCTGAACTACACCCCCCCCCCCACACACACACACACACACCCCACACCCTGAATTGGTTGCCAGCCAATCGCAGGGCACACATAGACGAACACCCAACTGCGCTCACACTCACACCCGAGGACAATTTTGAGTGTTTCAATAACTTGTCACGCATGTTTTTGGAAAGTGGGAGGAAACCGGAACACCCGGAGAAAACCCACGCAGGCCCTGGGAGAACATACAAACTCCACACAAGGAAGGCCGGAGCGGGAATCAAACTTTGCACCGCTACACTGCGAAGCTAACCACTCGACCGCCGTGCTGCCCATATTGCTTTTTAGTCATCAGAAAATAAATACTCAAGTACAAATACCAGAAAAATCGATTTAAATATGATAAGAAAGCGTTTCTACTTTGTTATATGCCACCATTGATTTATGATGGTGGGAGGTTTGTGTCACTAAGCCCCCTAAAGACCGCACATCCCCATATCCCGGCCAGAGTGGCTTTTTCCGACTTTCTTCCGCTAATTAATCGGGGTGGTGAACCCGATGTCAGCCCAGCTCGGGCTCGGGCTGCCATCCAGAGGCCTCAGCTGACAGCGGGAGGGGCGAATTTCATAACAAGGGTGAAGGGGAGGGGGCTGCATGCCACTGTACAGTCAAATAATATCTCCCTCATTCCAACGGTACGCGCCGCACTCACTCTTGATGCCATCCAGGTCGGCGGAGACGAGTGTCTGAGCCTCGATCTCGTCGGTGGGGATGCGCTGGTATTTGGCCTGCTCGGCGCCCGTCATGTTGCCGGTTCGCCGCCGATCCTGCAGGTCGTAGCTTCGGCCTGTCGAGGACAAGCGGGCGAGCGGCGGGTGATCCGAATGCGGCGGGCTGGGGACGTCTGACAACTCTGGCTTCCTGGAAGAAAATGATTATTATTATTATTATTATTATTTTGAATTTTTTTCACAGTTTGAGAATAAATGAGAGAACCTGATAATCCTCGAAATCATTGGTTTTCTCATCCCAAGTCATTTTTGCAACATGTTTGAATTTATTTATTTTTTTTGCTGTTCTGCTATGTCAAAAAGACATCTGAGTCATTTTTGCAGCATGTTTGAATTTTTTTTTTTTTTGCTGTTCTGCTATGTCAAAAAGACATCTCTGCGCTCCGTTTGCCTTTTTGTGTCCACCTCACTTCCTTCTTTTTTTTTTCAAATATTTTAGCTGTGTTAACACAAACATAACGAAACTTGCCGAGGTTGGGGATTTTTTTTTTGTTTGATTATGAAATTTCCAACTTCAACTTAGTAATAGTTTCCATCATATTGGACATTCTTGCTTCCTGTGCCACAAGAGGAACTGCCAAAGTGTGTGACGATGAATCATTTACAGCTCCTTCCTGTATGACTACCTGCATTTCCATTCACCATTTTGTTTTTTTCAACAATGGAATCAATATAACAATATTTTTGTAGTTGTAGACGTGTACTGCCTAATACTGAGTGTTCGACTGAATATTTTGCCCCCCCACGGTCGTCCGAAATTGTTACAGTGAATCGATTTGATCTATTATTTATTTTTAGGGGCATCTACAGTTGCTTACACTAACAACATGACTACGAGCAGTTTTTTAATCGTGATTCATTTGTTGTAAAAGCTTCCAAGCTGCAAATATTTTATATATTTATTTTCAACCATTGTGTTTACATACGCTGATATTTTTCCAAGAACAAGCTCTTATTTTTTTTTCCCAAGCTTGTTTAGTATCAGGAGAAATCAAGCAAATTCCCCCGATGGGAAAACAACATAAGGCAAGACTTGCTTGGAATAATGTCATTGTAGTTTGTTTGTTTTTTCTACAAGCAAGGAAATGAATAAAAAGATCAAACTCAGAAATGGGACATTTGTGGAAAAAATAAAAAATAAAATCTGACATTAAACTTTCAAGACTAGACGACACCAGCCCTTCTTTACCGCTTTTAGAAAAAAAACATCCACAGGAAATGTAATACAGCTACATAAGCTTCCCCAGCCGTTTATTTTCACATGGCGCTTTCACAGCCAATCCCCGGAGTTGGGAGAGACGTGCGAGGGATTCTCATGTAGGTGAGAGCATTTTTCCAGCGCTTGCCGAGTGCCAAAACAAGCCGTGGGGAGCCGAGGGGCAAACAAAAACATGGGGGGGTAGGTGACATATCGACTCTACCGTGTAGGAGTCAACAGATGGGACAAATAAACACATGCAAAGATGCTTCGTATTTGATTAAAAAGCACCCGAAGGCCGACACTAACATTGCAGGTCATACAACCAAGCTGCGGTGACACCAACATATAAAGACCGGGGAGGAGATTATGGGTGTACTGGGAAGTTGGCTGAAATCCGACACAGTCAGCACTTCAAGAGGACGGCGGCGGAGGAGAGGGAGGAGGAGGAGATGGGGGAGGGTGTTGCAATGATCATGTCATATCCCAACGTGTGGACGTGAGCGTTTTTTTGCATGTGCGTTTTTAACCCTTTCAGGGACAGCGGTTACTACAGTGGACAGCTTGTCATGTGATCGGGTTACAGGTTATCATTATTGGCGCATGAAAGGCTAAACTCAGTCACCGAGCGCCAGCAAGTTGGCTCACAATAACCTCAGACCTCTGATTTGTTGGCCAAGCAAAGTTCGACGAGCCAAACACATCTGTAGCCATCTGCACCAATTTATATACAGTCAAACCTCGGTTTTCGAACGCGTCTGATCTCGACCAAATCGGTTTTCGACCAAAAATTTCGAGTTTTTTATAGCGTTCCATTGTGAGCAGACGTGTTTAATCAAGATTTTTTTTTTTTAAAAAAAGAGCGTGGTTTTGGTTTTCGAACAAATCGGTTTTCCAACAGCCTTCTGGAACGCATTATGGTCGAAAACCAAAGTATGACTGTATTGAATAATTAGCATCTATCGCGAGTATAGTGTGTGGTTTTTTTTTCATGTTCATCGATAAATATTGATTCTGAACCGATCCAGTTGCATGCTGTTGTATTGTGTTTTTGCGGGGCGTTCTTTTATGCCCACATGATAGCCGTGGTACTAAGAGGCAAATTAAGTCTGGTAAATCCCCCACCCCCCGCCCCCACCCTAAAAGGTCCAGTACCAAATATAACGACCGCCACCGATGAAACGGTATTACTACTTTGTCGGGGGCAGGTTCACTCAGCACAATAACCACGGCGACAGGCTCTGGGACGACCATGTCAACAACAAGGAGATAAAAATCTCGTCAAATTCGTACCGGAGCGGCGAGGTTCTCCTGGGCCCTGCGTCGTCGTGGTTATCTGTCAGTGCAGATTTGGCCCAAGGTGTCGCGCGTCTGAGATGTTGTCTCCGTCTTTATGCTTTCGCCCCGTGTTGGCTTATCTGATGTCACCTCCTAATCCGTCACGCGAGCGTCCCTACGAGGGATCTCGTACAAATGCGGATTACGCCGAGAGAGAAGGTCGGGAACCTCGTCTGGGAACGGTGAAATTAAACCGTTATGCGTTGCTCGCCCCAAACATATTTTATTCATCTTGTGTGTGAATAAGTGTTTTTTTTTTTCAATACCCCCCACCCCCCTTTTCAACTTTGACGATAATACGAGTTGCTCGGCTTGCCAGCAGTTATGTTGTGTGACTAAGTGCCAGTTATTTCCATTGGCACATTCGCATCGCACGAATATCTCCAGAGAAGGTCATGCACAGTGTCAAAACAACTCAAGATGCTTTTCAAGCAATATTAACTCATCCGCTTGAATCACAGAATAAGCTTAATTTCACCACAAAATGCTGAACTTTCAACTTGGTGGAAACACACCTTCAGGACTCTTTACAATTCAAGATGCCCAAAACGCACAGCATTCGGAACTGAACGGTACTGGTTGCGGGAAAAGGTGTTACAGGACTTTGGACAATACATCCATCCATCCATTTTCCGATCCGTTTTGTCCTTACAAGGGTCGCGGGGGGTGCCGGAGCCTATCCCAGCCGTCTTCGGGTAGTAGGCGGAGGACACCCTGAACCGGTTGCCAGCCAATCACAGGGCACACAGAGACGAACAACCATCCGCGCTCACACTCACACCGAGGGACAATTTGGAGTGTTCAATCAGCCTGCCATGCATGTTTTTGCAATGTGGGAGGAAACCGGAGTACCCGGAGAATACCCACGCAGGGCCGGGGAGAACATGCAAACTCCACACAGGAAGGCCAGAGACGGGATCGGAACCACGACCTCTGCACTGTGAGGTCAATGCGCTAACCACAGGGCCGCGCTGGACAATACAGTCGAAACACAAAGATCAGTGCCATTCGAAAACTGAACTGAACTGAACCAAATGACATCACACGGTAGAAATGATGCCCCAGCAACCTTTTACAATTAAAGATACCAAAACTGCATATCATTCTGAAACCAACTCTACCGGTTGGTGAAAATGCTTCTAAGGAGCTTTTACAAGAGAAACACGAAATTCCGTGTTGTTCAGAACTGAACTGAACCAAACTGTATGATTTGGTGGGAACGATGCAAATGATGTCCCGTTTTGAACTGAACCGTACCGTTGGTGGAAATGGCGCTTTGCAACATCTCACAACAGAAACCTCGACATGCGTTTCGCTCCGAACTCAACGGTTTCGATCGCTCGGCGGAAACGGCGCGTCAAGACCTGTCACCCGAAGAACGCCACCAATTCGAGCTATTTCCATTCGCGCGGGAACACATTCAAAGAATGTAGTGCACTGTGTCAAAACAACTCCGATACTTTTCAAACAACGTGACTCCTTGCACTTAAGACAGGGAATAGCATTCGGGAAGTGTTACAAAACGGCCACCTTTCAACTTCTCTTTGTTTCTATCTTGAGAGCTGGGAAGAAAAGCTCGCCGGTGATTCCCCAGCGGTCGCCGTGTTGTAGGTTGACTGCTCTCCAGTTCCTCCAGAGGAGTGTGTGCGCATGTGTTTATAAAAGAAACCCCAAACCTTCGGCTGCTTCAAAAGGGTTCCTTTCTCCGCAGTTAGGATGCGTAAAGGAAAGCTCTCGCCTTCGCGTAATGGCGTCGTGTAGCCGGCACAAGAAGGAGCAGGCAATATGTATGAAAATGAGCGCCGCAGTGTTCCAGGGGCCTTAAAAACCAACAGAGACGATGTCGTAAAATACAAGCATCACCAACACCCCTCCTACCCCTTTGAATATTATTGCTTTGGGGAGGAGTGGAAAGTGGGGGTGGGGGTGGGGAGGGCCATCAGTCGTCATGGCTCTCAGCAATACTCCTGGGATTTAAGACTGCAGCAATGACAACAACACAAACGCGAAGGATGCGAGTGGATAAAATACACAAGTATACACAAGTTGGAATCATTACGATCTATCATAATGTGCGCGGCAGGCATTGTGTGAGCGCGAAAATGAGATGCATGTGCGGCGAGATCTGCAAATGCATACTAATGATCCTCAGTGAGAAATAGGGCTGTACATTTGCACGATGTTCCGCTAACGTGCCCAACGATTCATAAATGTGCACACGGGTTTTGGAAATACGTGCAAAGCCACACGCGCCCACAGGATATACTCAGTCATGTAGTCTTTATCCTCTGCAACAACTCATATAAGTGCCGTACCGATGAGCTGAGAGAAGTCGGGATGTCTCAGTGAACATTATCTGTCTGTCTGTCTGTTTTATAGTGTTGCCCCGAGGCAGCCAAGGCCGACACACCAGGAATTGGCCATTAAATTGATGCGGCGTGACAAAAACTGCCATTTTATTTTCAATTCTAATCAACGACGGTATGTCTTTGGTGTATGCTTTCATAAAGTGCAATATTGCGGAGTCATGTTTTAAAAATAAGTAACCTAATCTGCTCAACATCCACAGTTACCCAGCGTGTGGGTTAGGAAAATAACCCGGCAATTTTTTTGTTGTTTTGTTTTTTTGTGTGTGTCAGGAGTCCTCCACTGCCAGCCAGCTAACAGCATCTTCAGCCTTCCACATAAGTGTATTCTGCTTAAGCACTTGCTCATGTTGATGCCTCTTTATCCACAGTCTGTCAGATGTATATTTAATGCGGGTGGCTGGTAGGAGACGACACCAGCTACAACCTACAGACACGCTTTTGGTTTTTGAACTCGCCTCGCTTTACATACAGTAGATCAGACAGGCTGCGGAATGTTCCTGAGCAAGAGCAAGCGAGTGGAAAACAGCAACGCTCGCAAATGGCTCAAGATGTACTTTGTGTCGACACTGGCTGAATACACTAATCGGTGTAAATGCAATAATAATAATAATAATAATAATACATTTTGAAACTGTACCACTAAGTGCAAACTACGGTACTATGCCTAAAATAAAGACCATTCTGAACCAAATCAAATCGGTCCTCTCCTTTCGGTGTTTACAATGGACATCAGAATCGATTTTGAGAAGATGATTAAAACCGGATTCAGCCTGGCCGAGATGACTGGATTAGAATTACCGTGAAGATATCTAGAATGAAAAAAACGGACCTACCAAAAATTAGAAGCCAAAAGGACAAAATTGATCAAATCAGGAACCGTTGAAAATTCTACTTCATTGTTGATAGTTTTTTGTTTTGTTTTTTTTTTAATAGAGGCAGCTGACAACCTCACAATGGTACTATGGGATGTTGTGTGGAGGATTTGGGGGTTAAAAATAGTTAATAAGGTTGAAACATAAAATTAGTGTAAAAGTGAAACACTGGGAATATTTTCCGGTTGCACTGATTTACGCTTGACTTTTCTGAAGTTTTTTTTTTTTTAATAACCCCCCCACACATAAAATAAAATGAAAAATGTAATACTTTTGATTGTTTTTTGTCATGTGCTGTTGCATGAAGAATTTCAAGGATAAAAATGAATTCCTTCAAAATCATCATAAGTCATAATTTTTCCACGTGCACATTTTCTTTTTGATATATTTTGAATCAATATATACTTTTTGGGGGGGCGGAGTGTCATCTGTTGAATTCTGAGCCGAACAAATGAATTCATTCCATTTTGAAATAAGGCTTGAACGTAAAAAACGTGGAAAAGTAAAGTAGTTTTGTATCTTCGGCCACATATATTTTTTTTGTCTTGAAAAGGTTTTCATGCTGTTCTTACCATGGACTCTGTGTTAGCCTTGGTTTCTCTGCGTTCCACTCTGCTCCAATGTCCTATGGTGTTCCACAGGGTTTAATTTTGGGGCCCGTGCTGTTTTCATCGTCTTTTCTCCCTCTGGGCTCTCTCTTCAAAAAAAAAAAAATGGTATTGTCACGTTTGCGAGGTGGTGGTGGACCCCAAAAAGCATGCAGGAGGCAGGAGCAGGGTGAACTTGAAGAAGTGTATTGATGAAACATAGAAAACTTAAATCCTAAACAAAGTCCTCACAACAAAACGAATCCAAAGTAACAAACAAAAACCAAGGCAGAAGCTAAAAACTCAAAAACAAAAACATGACCGAAACATGACTGAAACAAACCTTACAGCAGCAAACAATGACCCGACGACCGAGTGGTTGTGCCAGGAGTCCTTTTAAAACAATAACAACATAACGACCAACAGGTGTGCAGCTGCAAGGAGAGCCCTACAGTGCCACCTGTTGGTCACAAACCGAAACATGACAGGTATTTCCTTTTTTTCTTAACTTGGGTTCCCTGGTGCCTGATCTAATGCCAAACCACACACACACACACACACACACACACACACACACACACACACACACACACACACACACACACC